GATTGTCCCAACAACCTTGCGCCTCTCGCGAAGAGTCACCGCGGTCTTCACACCGGAACATAGCCGCTCAGCGGCCGCGGGTCCCCTCATGGCAACGAACACGGCCGTGAGTAGCTTAACGTGCGAACCCGGGAGGCTCATGGCATCGTTGTCATTCCTGATACGCTGGAAGAGGCGGTTGAGCTCCCGCTGAGAGTCCTTGCGGTTGAGGATGTCGCTAAATTTCTTTGCACGAAGGACCTGATGATTGGTTGATGACCCTCCAGCTGCTGCCGTGATCTGCTTGTTTGGTAGGATCGGAGTTCCATTGAAGCATCAGGTGCGCGACAGATCTGCTGCTTGTTACATTACCCACTCGAATGGAAAACGAACATGAAGAGCACATGAAAAACAGGCATACAGTTGTGCTAGTTGATCCGATGAAATTATTGTCTTTTGGCAATGCCCCGCGGGTCTCGGTATGACTTCAACAGCCTCATGAATAATCATGAATAATACATGGATGTGCAGCACACATTAATGCATTCCATACGGAGTATAGCGTAGGGTCTAGAGAAGTACCAGGTACAGTCGTAGGTGCTTTCAGCGAAGATGCCTGACAGTAGTAGGTAGATGCCTTGTCACGTTTCCCGCCTTGTCATGTCAATATCAACAAAGGACGGCCCGGAGATACGAAACATCAACTCTAGCCGAGGATCAGTTTCATATTTGATCGTCACTGTCGAGAACAGGTTGCTATTCGAGCGTAAAGTCTAGGATCCTCCGGTGACATTTGTACCTGTTTGGGGTGTCGGCGCGTGTACTATGTTATCACGCTCGCGGGCTCTTGTCGAGAGCGTGTTGCACAAAGGAGTGACTCAAGTTCCTTGATTAACTATTAACGAGTGAGAGACATGGGCAGGCAAGCAGAGCCTACGCGTCAAGTCCATCACACCCATCATGTACAATATCTATCTGCGTAACCCCCGGAGATCTCGGAGATTCGTATCCTGCCGAGTACACACACAAACAGCCCCCCTACTCGGTACGAGACACGATTACGAGATCCTCCGTACATATATCGCCAAGTAAAACGGCAACAATTCAAAAACCATTCACCTTTTGTATCCACAAATCATCTCAACTCCCGGATCTATCGAATACTCAAATTTCAGGTTACTCCTTCTTCTTATGACTATGGAACTTCACTAAGAGTCTTAACAAGCACCCCTCTCGAGAAAACGTCGTCACCACATTCTCAAGCAGTCAAAAACAAAGAATTATACTTGGAAAAATACTCAGCAAAGATCAACATTACATCAGAGCCACGTCATAAAGACTCTGGACGGACAACTCTGGCAAAACGCGTCAACAAATACCTCGAACAAAATTCTCGCACAAAACTGTGTTTCAACTCATTGACCAATTTAAAATAAGCTTCGGAAGCACACAGGCCTCAACCATGTCTTACCAAAATATGCCAAATCCTTCCTCCAGTACATCGTTCAGAACCACCATCAATACCAAATACATACGGCAAAAACAGACAAAGGTTAAAAACCCGGCGGTCGAAGACGCCAGAGGAAACTTTCACCAATTATGCCGTTTCTCAAACATCAAGACATGGATTTCTTAACAGCCCTCCTGCTGCAGTATCTCCCAAAACATAAAAGCTTAACAGCCCCCCTGCTGCATCATCTCCCAAAACACAAAAGCTTAACAGCCCTCCTGCTGAAATAAATCCCGAAACAGAAAATGCAAGCCATCCAGTATTTCGTCTGGATTGCAAGAAACAGAATACAAAACATATACCGATTGACATCTCCCCTTCGACATATCTCCGACCATGGAACTCAATCCGTCCTATAGCAATACATGCAAGGCACAACTCTCGAATACTAACAACGAGAAAACAAACAAATATCATTAACTTATCTCCGAAAGCCGCAGGTAAAACGCGGAATCGGAAACAAACAAGAAATTCTCCTCATTTTCCGCAGGTAAAACGGGGAAAACGTTTACAAAATGAACAAAAACCAAACCCGAACGTCTGCTAGAACGCTGCTTGTACTGCGACGAGGATCATGGCATCACAATCACATTCATCCCCCCCCATGATTTTCGACAGCAGTGCTAGCAGTGGTCCAACGATGTCAACTGAACCATTCGGCGTGCTGAATTCTTAGATTATCCAAACTCAATGCCCAACATATGAAAATCACAATGTAACCAACCATGCGCATCGCAACTCTAAGTCTACGTCGACACAGTTCTCAAACTCATGGTTTTCGACAAACAAAACAAAACCAAACCTAGAAGTAACCCAAACACAATAATTCTCACAAACGTGCCTGAACCGCGCGTAGATCCAGAGCTGCGTCGTTGCAACCATCGGTCATCCCCCACTGGAGCTCCCGATCACGAAGTCTCTTACTTCCTCCTCTGGAGATCCCGATCACCAAGTCTCTCACTTCATGCCGCACACTTCTGCCACGATCGATCCTCCCTTCCTGGCATTACCCCCCATCGTCCCGCACGACGTAGATGCCATTGCTCACGGTCGGATGGGCGCCGGGATGCCTTGCACCGGCGGACAACGCCCCGATGCCGCCGTCACCGCTGCCGTCGCTGCTGTTGCCACCTTCGTCGCCATGGCCCAACCAACAGCTATCCTCATCGCACTCGTCCTCCGGCTCTTGCGCTGCTGACGCTTTAGCCGCAATTCCCTGCGTCCCAACCGGCTCCCACACCGCCGCCGCGGGGAAGACTCTGCTGCCGGGGGTCGCCGCTCTCGCCGCCGGTGCTGCCGTCCATGCCGCTGCTCCCGCCGCGAGTGCCTGCGCCCCGGCCGTCTCCCCTGCCGCCGCCGCGGGGAAGATTATGCTGCCGGGGGTCGCCGCTCTCGCCGCCGGTGCTGCCGTCGATGCCGCTGCTCCCGCCGCGAGCGCCTGCCCCCCGACCGTTCCCCCCGCCACCGTAGTGGGGAAACCACCATCAACGGTCGCCGCTCCTGCCGCAGGTACTGTTCCCCAGGCCGCCGCGCCAGCTGCAAACACGGGGAGCATCGCCTCCTGTCGATGCCTTTGCCTCCTCCAGCGTCGTCGCTTCCGCTGCTGGTGCGGCATAGCGTCGTTGCCATTCGCGTTGAGACCCTCTCCGTCACCGACGGGCACGTGCTGTTGCATGCGGTCGATTGTGCAACACATGCGGCGCCGATGGCCATACTCACCGCAGGCAGTGCAGTTGCCTTCAAAGCGTCGTGGCGCATTGCAGTCGCCAAGTGAGTGTCCATGCCTCCCGCATCTCACGCACTGATGAACGACACCAATCAGAGCACCCTGCGGCGAAGCTGACTCCTCTTGCGGGTACACAGCGTTGCGCCCACAGTCATAGAGCCCCCCAGATCCCCACGTCGGGAAGTTAGGAGGTGGGTAATGTGCAGGTGGTGGCTGAGGACGAACCCACTGCTGCTGCTCCCGCTGTTGCCGCCACCGCCGTTGTAGTCCCCCCTGACCGTGGCCACCATGACCGGACCCAAGCCCACCAACCGTCACCGCTGCCGCCGGTGCCGCCTGCGCTTTGCCCAATTCCTTCATCATGACCTTGTTGGCGTATGCCGCGCGAACAACGTTTTCCACCTTCGCTCGGGAAATGGTGGGGTCGGCCAGGATGGACTTGCGTTCGATATCGTACTCGTGCGCAAGCTGGCGGACAATGATGTGCACGATAGCCCGCTCAGATTTTTCGATGCCGACAGCTTTCATGATGTTGATCACTCCGTCTACTCTGGCGAAGAAGAGTTTCGGGTCCTCGCCGGGATGCATCTCAATCGTCTCAAGTCGCCTCACAAGCAACGTCTTCTCAGCGTCAAGAGTAGGCAACAGCCATTCGTGGATCACGCTCCACGCCTCAGGGACGCAGTCGCAAGCACCCAACCGTTCTTCAATGTCCGTGCCGCAGGTTGCTTCCAACATGTACCCCCACGCCCGCTGGTGAGCTGCCACCAGATGTGCACCGTGAGTCTGGTTCAGGTATGTGCGATCCAGACAACTGATAACGTTGACATAACCAGTAGATGGCATGTGGTCAAGGGTTCGCTCCAAATCCTCGACAGCCAGGAAATTCCGCATTCTCCGAAGCCAGCTCACGGCCTTCGTCGAATTCGTCGGGATTTTGGGCGGGTTGCGACTGCTGCTGTAACCGCTCAAAGCACAATTTCCGTCATTTTTCATGCTCACCCGTTGTGTACCGAGCCCAGCTCCACCAGCTGCCCCGGCAGTCGTTCTTCCGGCAGCCATTGCTCCTGCCGGTGCATCGTTCTTCTCCCTTAGATGCCCATATTCCATCTCCGTCCAGTACTTCTCCCATATGTTCTGCCTCCGCCTAACTACGCCGCCGAAAAAAAAAAAATGCGGCACGATGTATCTCCTACTGCTAGACTTATTCTTGTTCACGTAACTGGATCTCCTTGGCACGCTTACCGCTGCTGCCCTTGTATTCCAAATGCTGTCCCTGGATCTCCTTGGCGCGCCTGTCGCGGCTGCCCTTGTATTCCAAACTCTTACCCTGGATCTCCTTGGCACGCGCGGGCAAAAACCGCCCTGCTGCTGCTGCCCTCGTATTCCAAACCCTGTTCACTGGATCTCCTTGGCGCGCACACAGGCAAAAACCGCCCGCTGCTGCTGCCCTTGTGTTCCGGTGCCTACCTCCCGAACCTTTCCCTACCGACGTCAGCTGACTCCACGATATCGTGTTTGGGGTGTCGGCGCGTGTACTATGTTATCACGCTCGCGGGCTCTTGTCGAAAGCGTGTTGCACAAAGGAGTGACTCAAGTTCCTTGATTAACTATTAACGAGTGACGAGCATGAGCAGCAGGCAAGAAGGACCTGCTGCTGCACACACGTCTGCATATACCCAAACCTATCATATCTCCGTACCCCCTCGGATATCTCGGAGATCTGTATCCTGCATACACAAACAGTACCCTATTTTTTGTCTATAACGAATCCACGCCAACCTTATGGTTAGAGTCCAAGATAGATTTACTGTATTCTGTAGTAGGAATGAGTCCATAGCGTCAGCGGAGGCTACCAGTATTTCCACGATATCCCAAGCAGCATTCGAAATTGTAAACATTTTTGTGTGTTACATGGGCATAGAAACGTCCAAGTAATGCACATGTCTTGATTTGAGAACTTATGGCCCGCCATACATGTAGCTGCACCCAATACTCGCAAACCGGCACCTCGATACACGCATCAAATTGACGGTTTTGAAGAGCGTAATCGTACCGCCGCTAGAGTACGCCGGAGAAGTATGGGAAGGAAATAAGAAGGTAGTGAAAGAACTCGAGGCGGCGCAGATGAAAGCAGCGAAAACCATCCTAGGATGCTCCAGGCGCACAAGTAATGCAGCCGTGAGGGCAGAATTGGGGATCCAATCCCTACGGTCGGGAAGAGACGCGAGGAAGCTGACCTGGCAGTATCGCATGTGCGGGATGGGAGAGGAGAGGTTGCCGAGAATTGTATGGGAGGCGAAGTGGGCAAACAAAAAGAGGGGTAAACAACCCACGGAATGGGTCAAGGTTGTAGAGGACGTATGGAAGGGGCTCGACATCGACGAAGATGAAACGCTGGAAACGGAGGGTCTACAGGGGTTCAAGGAGAAGAACAGAATCTGAGGAAATAATCCAAGAATAAGGAGTGTCTAGAAGTGTACAGAATGTTGAAGGAAGGAATAGGGTTCAGGGACTACCTACATGGAGCAATGGATGCAGGAACAAAGCTTAAGGTCAAATTCAGGACCGGGGACATAGGCCTTCGAGAACGTCGACGAAGACATAGACTAGGACGGTAGACGACGAAGACGACGAGTTCAAGTGTGATTGCGGCTTCGAATATGCGAAGGCCGTGTTCATGTAGTCGCGGAATGTCCGTGGTACAAGAAGGAGAGGAAAGTGTACGTGACTGAGCTGGGAAAAATAGATGGAACGTACAGGGAGATGTTTGAGGCATGGAATAGAGAGGAAAGGACGGTAGCTGTACTGGGGCAAAGGAGGTGGGTTGAAAAGGCGGGAAGGGATATCGTTAGGATAGGCAGACTAGGGAAGACATTTTTGAGCCACCTTTGGCAAAGTAGAAAGGCACGATTGGCCATCGGTGATCGGTCCTGTGGGAACAATGCTCCGTCCTCTCGAGAGCGCGTGGTCCATGGTCTAGTCTAACCGCTACGGCATGCAAAACATAAGAGACAAGAGAATACATGTAGCTCCAGACGACACTACAGCCGCGTTACCTAAAACGTTTTCGAGACTATTTTCACTCAACCTCACCCAATACAAGGCTTTTCGGCGTGTGGAATCACGCACACACATGCGGGGAGTAGACCCGTACAGCATAATGCGCTAAGCTTTGGTTGCGCTTGTTGGCAAGAAGGCGATGGTGCACATCGGTATGGTCGCAATGTCAGGTGATGTTCAACTCGCTTACTCCTTGACTCCTTTATTGCGTGTATCCCTGGCTGACCTACTCGGAATATATATACACAGCAGTGCGTACGATCACACACACGATCCACACACTACAAGGATATTCATCCTTAACCTGTGTCTACAAATTGTCGGGATTGGATGCCATCACCTCGTTGCGGGTTGGGTGCCATCGCCTGCTGCCAAGCCAAATCCACAAAAATGCAAATCAGACCTACCAATAAAAAACAACCTACGCCGTATCTAGTCTAGACTAGTCTGTCCACATATCACTTGTAGGTTCTCGCGAAACGACCTGAGTTTCGCCGAAAAAAAGTTTTCAAAGTTTGAATTCTAGTTTGAATGTTCAACACCACTTCTGTGGCACATCGTCCGCAACATGGGCGACTAATGAGGCGCCCCTAACAGTCGAGCATAGATTGTGTATTGTCGTCCCATCGACAGGCAGCAGTACACGTGACTTGCTCTTCTGCACGTTTCAGAGAATTCGCATAATGAGTCTGCAAGTGTAACATAGCCTCTAGTCTACAGCAGTATATATAGACTATATATATATATATATATATATATCCACCATGCACCGCGGCGGTGAGGAGTCTACCGCGGTGGCGGCGGTGCGGTCTGTGTCCGGCTGCACACAACAGGACTTTTTACACCTTTCCTCCTCAACTACTTATATCCCGGTTGCCGTCCCGCCCCAAGGGCTGGCGGCAACTTGCCAAAATAGTTCTGAACTGCGGGTCCCTGTGCTACAAGCAGTCGTAACGGCGCCGACAGAGACCGGCAGAGACCGAACACGTATTTCAGAAGAACCATTCAATAGTCTACTCTTCATTCCAGAGTAGCTTACTTATCTTATAGAGTCGTATAATATAGAGGAATGGCTTAGCCTTTTCAAAAGGAACAGTTTCGCCTTTTCGACGAGAAGTCTATACAAATGAGAAATAGGGTACCTGTCGTAATGGCATGCGTCTAGACTTTACCGGTCTCGTATCGGACTACAAACAAACCTGGCAAGGTTTTCAAAGGCAATCATAAATCGGATTATGGGTAGACTACATGTACGTATGTTTTCTGATAGCACCCCCTTGCGGAAAATGATGTATGGAGACTCGCAGCGCCTGAACTCACGGACGGGTGGTGTCGATGAAACCGCAACGGTCTTCTTCCCCCAAGCTGGTGTGAGCAAGAAAAGAGATGGCCACATATGAAATCTGGGGTACTTGCCGGGGTGAACGCTCTCTACTCATACATATCAATCCAGTGCACAATGGCCTTTGCGGGGAACGCAGTCGACATTTCAAACCTACATACATAGGAGATCCAGACTGAAATACATCCATGCACACCGACAGGCAATGCCGACAGTGAAAAGACCGAACGCCCAGAGAATGGTCTAGTCTATCTAGCCAGTCTCTAGGCTCACAAAATCGCAACCTGGAGACCTGCGACTTGTCTTCTCGGGTAAAAGCCGAAGGCAAGCACCGCAGGAGAGGTGTGTTAGGGGCTTCAGCGGGAGGGACCCTTGTGTGTGACCACGGATTGGGGCAGAAAGGTGGTGGTTTGTGGGCGCAGCAAGTGATGAAGAAACTTGATCGATCCGTAGGTACAAATTTGATGCTTAGTCTAGACTACAAGACGACAGTGGTTTCTTTCTCACCTGTGCCATCACGCCCGGTGAAGACCGGGCCGACATGTTCTTGAGGGGTGGTCTTCGTCTTGTCGTCGACATGATCTTGGACGTCAAGAAGCACATAAGGATGCTGTGAAGACAGCACCCGCAATTGGTGCGTGGGTTGTGTGTTGTTCGTTGTGGGGTCTGTATGCACCCAAGCTGTTTGTGACGTTTCACTGCCCAATATTGGTCGTTTGAGGTGATGTCCCGAACAGCACCTTAAATGGGCGAATCTTGAATACTTGGTATCATACACCATCAACAGTGCAGTAGTGTGGTGTGGAAGGTACTTAGTAATCTTGTTGGCTTCTCGCAGGGGGGAAGCGGCCAATGGGCACGTCATCCCCCGCCTCCCTCGGTTAGTCTATCTACATCTATTTCCAGGAGGGAAAGAAAAAAAATCCTGAACAAAATATTTATCTGTCTGTGCCATGAACCGGGACCGCCCCCACAATGTGTTAAGGAGTGTGGCTGCTAGCATGAATAGGGTACATCTTATTCTTGATAGGATGCGGGTCGGTCAGGAGGTATACCCTTCTGACCCCTACCCCCTTAGAATTGTCTACTCTGTGTACCCCCTGAGATGAAGTTGGATCCCCACTTCATCCCAGACCTTTGCTGATCGTCTCTCAGCAATAACAAGCAACTTTCCCATCTCAACGTGGTCGTGGACAAGCGTGTCAACGACAGAACCTTCATCTATCTCTAGGAGCAAGCCACCGCCCACGGCATCACTCCTTGAAACTTGGCGTCAGCGGTATGCGAAGGTGTACTGATTCAGGTAAAAGTCAATGGACGGATACCCTGCGAATCGGGTCCTCCTTAACACTCTCCACCCACAGAATTTTCCCTCAACTGGGAACCTATTGTGGCCAGGATGGGTAATTCGATGGAAGTGTCACAAGGTTCTTTCTAGGATTGACTCCAAGAGGTGTTCTCAGGACTGACACACATTGTGTCCACGGGAAAATATCCAAGTCAGGAGAAAAAGTGTGCACCCAAGGAGATTCGAACCAGTATCCTGCCGCTGACGCCATATGCGAAGGTGTACCGATTCAGGTAAGAGTCAATCGGCGGATACCCTGCGAATCGGGTCCTCCTTAACACTGCAGCTCTCCATGGAAGCCCCTTTTGGGCAACATGCTTCGTGTCTGTGGGATGTGTTGGACAAGCGTGCGTTCGCGCACACGCCAGCGGTGCATGAAGATGATATCTTTTCGGCATCTTCCACGAATGCTAGGAGTTCGTCTGCTGTTTCGCGTGCTGTAGCTTCTTCGGCGTTGCGTTCGACGGTGACCCCTTCGTGGAGCCAAGGTTCTTCGGCCGCCGTGACGAGTGTTGACCCTCTACCTAATGATGATCGGGACCCTTTTCTGTTGCACTACAGCGACTGGCCGTTGCAAGGACACTTCCAAGAGGTGTACAACGTCACTAGTCAGATGGCTCTAACCAAGAATGATCCGCCATTGTTCACCCCCTTGGTCTCGGCTGAAGAGCGCCGCGACGTGCTTCGACTGTACAAGGGCAAGTGCCTCAACTGCTTGGGAGAAGACCACTCCTTCAAATCCTGTAATCGTGGTTTCGTGAACGCCACCGGCCTGCTTAACAATGACATCAAGTTCTGTATGGAAAAAGATCCCACCCTTTGGGGTCGGTGGAAAAAGCGCATGACCTCGTATAGACGCCCTACAGGACGCAACCCAAACCGAAATTACCCCTTAGGACGCGCCCGACGCTCATCTGACACATCGGACACGAAATAGTCCTCACACGCAGAGCACTCGTCGGACGCTTCCACTTCAACAAAAAGGGGCTGGAGGGGTAAGAAATGACAAGCCGATGGCGGAGTTCAGCCGGTACTACCGTCAACAGCAACCACCGTGCACCCTTTTGTCAAGGGGGAGTAGTCAAGAGCGCCCTGCGTCAATGATCAAACATGCGTCTGTTGCAGGAATCACTTCTCCTAACGAACGGGTCTCTAATAGCCGAATGGCCTCTGCTAGATTGACCCCGCCGGAGCCGCCGCCCCAAGGCCGCCCTCCGGATCACGGCGCGTTGCGACTTCGCCCGCCCCTGCCTCGCTTTTTGGGTCCTCCCCGTCGGAGAAGAGGACCCGTCCGCCTGGTCCACTCCCGCCTGTGCCTGGTGCCCGCCTTTTGCCCCTTCGCCCTGCACCGGCTCCGCCGTTTGATGACAAGTGCGAGTACGCTTCGGATGACGTCCTTCTTTTCTGGAAACCTCCGTCTGTGTTCTCGCAATTGACTCCTTCGGCTTTTGACGTACTGGGGGTACGTTATTCATGTGGTGAGCAATTAATGATGTCTGAAAAAGCGAAGTTGTTTGGAGATATAACGTCATATGACAAAATTATGGCCGCAACAGATCCTAAGACACACAAGTTTTTGGGTCGAAATGTGCGTCCTTTCGACTATGCTGAATAGGAGCGTCGTCGTGAAGAGATCGTGCTTACGGGGTCGTACGCCAATTTTGCTCAAAACCATGACATGAAACATCATCT